TGGGCTGGCCCCTGGCCTCCCCGCCCCGGAGTTAGTGGGACTGAAGGAGGGGCTAAGGAGCAGCAGGCATGCCCTTTGCGCTTCCTCTGACAGGCGCTGCGGCTGTCCCTCTTCGGAGGATTTGGCGAGAGAGGCTTCAGCCTGCTCTGTTCTGAGCCACCTCCCCAGATCTCTGTGGCCCGAGGTATGAGGCAGGTGGAGCCGCTACAGAGGGTGTCACTTGACAGTGGCTGCTATTCCAGGTGGGGAACTCCCACTCTGGCCCAGGTGTCAGGGTTTAGGCCTTGGGGACATGGCATTCTCCACGACTCTTGTCATGGCAGCTCCAGGAATGTGAACACAACACACTCACAACAGATGGGTTAGAACTGTGACCGAGAGGAGCCTGGCGGGGAGGGGTGTGTGCGTGGGGCAGGGGGGGGGGAGTGTTTACCCTCTGAGTCCGAAGTTGAAGGCTAGACAGAGTTTGCCCAGGGGGAGGGAAAGAGAGAAGGTGGCCCCGCCACAGGAATAGCACATGCAGAGCCCTGGTGGCTTCCGGTATTTCAGGGAGAGGAGGCCATGGGGTCAGGTCCTTGGAGGAGACAGGCTGCTGCTGAGGCTGGGCCCATCCTCCTGCTGGTCCTTTGTCCTTCAGGCCAGCCAGCTAGCCCTGCCCACCCTGCACCTCCCACCAGCACTTCCCCAGAAACCTACTTGACCGAACCACCTTCTAAGTACACATCTGTGGCCACAGGCATGCTAGAAGATACCACTTGTGGATTCTGGGGTGCCACGGGCAGGGTGTCTGCACCCGGTGAGACGGAGCCAGTGGTGCAAGAGGAAGGTGAGGCCATAGGGGCCAGGCACTTTCTCCCTGTGGCCTGTGGGCTCAGCCAGATGCCATGCTTGGGGCACCAGGGTGTTCCTTAGCAGGACTTCAGAGCACCGCGGGCCCCAGGGCACCTGTCCCCCTTCTCATTTGACAGATGAGGAAAGTGAGGGAAAACGTTCATCCAAAGCCTAGAGCTTTTAGCTCACCTAAAGCCCAGAGGGTCCCACCCCAGGTCCGTGTGTTCTTGGCTCAGCAACCCACACCTCCACTGGCCTGCTGGGAAGACACGCTGCCTCTGCCCCGTGTGGCTCAGGCCCAGCAGCAGTCTCACAGGGCTGGAGGCGGTGTCTGCTGGGGGTGGGTGTTCACACAGACCCTCCCTCCCTGCTGACCCACCTGGTGGGGGAGATGCTTGCGGCAGGAACTTGGGCCAGGCCCTTTTTGCACTCAGGGACAGGCCATGCTGCTGTAGGGGGTGGCCTGTTTGGAGGATGTTGCAGGGATCTGGAGATGGAGGTGCGGGGCCAAGAGAGTGAGGGCAGCCACCAGCCGCAGGCAGCCATGGTCCATGAGCGGGGAGGGCGGGTGGGGGTTTGAAAGCCCAGGCAAGAAGTGCAGTCCCTGTGTGGGGGGTGAGGAGGCATGGAGGCCGGGCGCAGGGAAACAGGAGTGCAGAAGTCAGAACACATTGGGGGCTTGCACATCCCCCTGAGGACATGCAAGAGGCCTTCGGGTACAAAGAGCAGGAAGAGGTCTGGCCTCACTCAGGACACCCAAGCCTGAAGGATGTCCACTGGCTGCTGACTCGGCCCCCAGCCCCAGCTCCTCCCGCAGTGCCCATGTCTGCCTTTTTCTGTTTCCTGAGGGTGTGGGACCCCCTTACGTCCATTCTGGGAGATGGAACCCGGCCCTCCTGGGCTCTGCTGGTATGTGCTACGGGACTCTGGGTCTCCACCACCAGCTCTCTCCATCAGAAAAGCCGGCAGGGACCCCTAGGCTCTTTCCCTTGGGGGTGGACTGTGCCGCCTAGGAGCCTAGGGCTGGGGAATTCCTGCCCACTGCTTCAGGTGCAGATCCTCTGGATGGTCTCACCCGTGGACCAGGTCTCATCCGGGCCATACCACGGAGAACCAGGCAGTTGGTACAGCCATTCAGGTGGACACGAGGGGTGGGGGGTTGTTTTGGCCCAGCCCCCACTCCCCCCACCCCAGCCTGACCCCTATAGGGGTGTGGGCAGTGGGCAGTAGGGCACCTCTAGGCAGGGCCAGTTGAGCCCTCCCCCTTCCAATCTCAGGCATTTGATGAGCTCGGTCAGCATCCCCTAGATGGCAGATGGGGAAACTGAGGCCTGACAGGGGCTGGGTCAGGAATGGAATGGCTGGTGGATTGAGTCATCTCTGCAGCTGCCCGAGGTCAGAGCTGCCCATGCTGTGCTACACTGGACAGTCAGGAGTTCCCTCTGGGCAGGTCACGCTGCCCCAAGTGGCTGGCACCAGGCAGTCTGTGGGCGAGGAAGGCTCCCTCTTTGCCCCAGTGCCCTCGTCTGGGAGTGGCAGTGGGGAGTGGGGGGAACAAGTGCCACACGAGGCCAGGGCAACACCATGCAAGCTCCCGCTGCTTCTGGCTGAAGGGCTGCCGGGGCCCAGGCTGGAGGCCTGACCAGTGGCTTCTGGCTGCAGCTCTCCGGACTAGAAAAGGAGGCCTTGGGGCTCTGATCTGGGATGCCTGCCTGAGAGCCCCTGTCCATCCCCAGCTCCCACCAGCATCAGCAATTTCACACCTGATGGGGCCCACCTGTTACCAGTCCTTGTCCAACCATCCCTGAACACCTGCCCAGGGCCCAGGAGAGCCAGCCTCCTTCTGGCTGCACTGTCTCTCAACACCCCAACCCATAGCAGGGCCTGAGATCGGGGTCCCCCACCTGCCAGGGGCTGACGCAGGCCATGACACTGATGGCCCATCCTGCTGAGGCACATTCTCCTGGCCTGGGCCCAGGGCAAGCCCCTGTCTGTCAGGACTGACCGGCTGTAGCGGGGTGGGCTGTGCCTTAGGGAGAAGTTGGCTGGCTGCATGTGAAGCAGTGTTCCTGCCCCAGTGATGGCTTGACCCTGGGCTGTGTGATGGGGGAAGAAGCCCTGGCCCCAACCATCTCAGGGTCTTATCACCCTGGTCCTGACTTGCTTTGTGACCTCAGGCAAACAGTTCAACCTTGCTGCGCCCCTATCAGACCAGCCATAAATGGGGACCCCAGTACCACATGCCTTTGGAGACTATGAACACCCCTGTCTGTTATCACTCAGTCTGGGGCTGGGCTGGGCCCTGGGCATGCTGAGGCTCCTGTGGGGTGCTGCACGGGTGAGAACACTGTGCCCGGTGAAAGCCACACAAACGGCTCAGTCAACACTAAGTGCAGAGCAGGCAGGGAGGGACCTCCCCGGGGATCAGGGCCTCGGTGGCCTCTAGGGCAGCCTGATGAGCATCTGTGGGGTGCACAGACATGTCTCCATTGCCTCCCTGACACCCCAGTCTGCAGGTCCCTGCAGGGCGGGAGGGCCAGCAGAGGCACAGCCCAGGGCAGGTAATTTCTAGCCCAACTCTGTCCACAGCTCACCATGTGGCCTAGATCACATCCCCAGCCTCTCTCTAGTCATTTCTGAGAGTCCTCAAGCCAGGAATAAGGCCAGCGCAAGTGCAGTGGAGTGGCGCAGAGAACCAGCCAGCCTGGGCAGCTCTGACCAGGCACAGGGCCCGGTCTGATGCCCACTCCCAGCCCCACTGTCAGTAGGCCAGAAAAGGAGTCATTTTTTGCCCATTGTCATGGAGTAGGTGCTGACTGGTGGCTGCCCCACGTAGACAACAGAATGAATGCTGCCCGGTCCAATGCTCCCTTCAGCCTTATCGAGATGTGCCAGCCGGGCCAACCTGGAAGCCTCATCTTCCAACCGGGCCTCAGACAGCTCTCTCTTCTGGTCCACGGGGTTTTCAAGTGCTTTCTTTTTGACAGAACTGGATCACCAGGCCTTCCTTCCTATGCTTTCTTAGTTGGGAATCTGCTGAAACCTGCCCTCAGGGGTGGCCCTGCTGGTCTTCAAAATGCCAGTAGCACCACTCCCAGTATCAAAGCAAGATGCAAGCCCCACTGTCTGACAAACAGAGGCAGGTCGTAAGGACGTGGAGCGGGGGCATTATTGAGAGATGGGAGGCCTGGTGGGCACCAAGCCCCTCCTGGCTTTTCCCCAGGGGCATCCGGACTGGTGGGCCAGCCTCACTGCCCTCTCCCAGGCCTGCAGCCCTCCCTGCACACTGACTCCTGCCCTTCCTCTGTGTCTTCACGTATGTGGGCACTGCTGGGAACAGTATGCAGTGCTGGCCCAGAGGTGGGGTGGTGCACCTTGACCTCTGAGGCCCCACTCTGAGCCAGGCCCAGGAGACAGAGCTCCCCTGCGGTGAGGTGACAGACCTGGTCAGATGTCAGGAAGGACAGGTGCTTGTCTGGGCTGTGTCCAAGCAGATCGCATCGAGGCTGGAGTCCACTCCAGGCATGTAAGGGAGTGGTTCTCATTTCTCCAGCGGCAAGCTTCCCTTGGCATCTGAGCACCCAGGGGAGCCTGGAGCCAGGCGGAGGGATGGCCCGAGCTGGACCAGGATTGGGCTTGAGAGCTTGGGGCCTCTTGCTTCTCCAGCAGAGCCTGCCCCGGGGAGCCCTGGCCCCAGCAGGAAGGGACTTCTAGATCAAGCCTGGCCCGCTCCCTCCCCTCTCACTCCTCCCTGCGTGGTTCCCACCTGGGATTACCTGAGCCTTGTTTCCCCGTGGTTTCAGATTACAGAAATTTGGGATATCCGACCATTTCTTCCTTATTCCCTGCCACCCTGGGAGGGGCCAAAATAATAAGCCCCTTGGGATCCTCAGTGTCCTTGTTCTCTGTGCCCTTGTCCCGCGGACTCTTGACCTCGAATGCCAGTCAGAGCAGCCGCCTCTCCTGAGAGGGC